TGAGTAAAAACAGAGTAAGATTGTCAATGGCTTGACTTGTTATAGAAGCAGAGATATATGATTCTAATCTATTGTGAAATGTTGACCAAGTAGACGATGAGCTAGATTCCCCCATATCTCTGATGTATAACGACAGTCAAAGAACAAGTGATTTCTAGTTTCATCTGCTTGATCACATAGTACACAACGCGCAGTATTGCTTGAGTTCCAGCTAGCCATACAATCCGCCGTGGAGAGACGATTCAAACGTTTAACTTTTTTGAATATACTAAGACGGAGAACTCTTCCGTTGGAATTAGCCTTGATAAAAGGTAGCTTTTGTTTTTTTGGTCGAAAGATAAAATGTAGCTTTTTATTTGATTTTATTAAGAATATATAGTGTTCTTCACGATCATAAATCATATCATGCCGTTAATCGTTGATTTATAAGGGTCGGTTTGAACTGTTCACGTTAGAATTTTTTTGTAACATTTTTCAAGAAATATAATATGGATGCGGAAAAAAACGAATTATCCAATAATAAAATTATCTTTAAGATGATTTTAAAGTTTTATAAATTTTTCAAAATTATCTGAATTATCAGTTCTAAAATTGACTCTAATTAGTAGAAAGTTGAAAATTTTCATATATTCTCTCCAGTTTCTTAAGAGAAAAAAAAAATTTGAATAATTTTATAGTTGTCGAATTATTCATTTTCTATCGGTTCCTGCCGTCGTTACCTGAAATCAACATCCGTAACATCGCTTTATACAAAATCCAGATGTCTAATTGAATCAAAACTCGGTTTACTTAAACCAAGTGATGGTTTAATTTGACGTACAATGATAATCTTATTGGGCCTAGACAAAACTGGACTTTGGCCCATTTGTGTGTGAAAAAGAAATTAGATTGACTTTGTTAATCTCTTGCAGTCAAACGGAGCGTCACTTTACTTTGGCTAATCTGAGGAAGAAGACAAAATGGCGGCGGCGAAAGCAGCGGTGGTTCTTCCCCGGCCGGTGACGTTTGTGACGGGAAACGCCAAGAAGCTCGAAGAGGTTAAAGCTATAATCGGAAATTCAATTCCTTTCAAGTCTCTCAAACTAGACCGTGCGTACTACTACTACCCCTTTCGATCTCTCTCGACTCTCTCTGTTTCATTTGGCTCATTGGTTAACTTCTCCAGTTGCAGTGCCTGAGCTACAAGGTGAACCTGAGGATATCTCCAAAGAGAAGGCTCGTTTGGCTGCTCTTCAGGTAGGTAGCTGCTCAAGCTTATGTTTTTATATGTACACACTTTCTTCCTTGTGCTGAATGTGGACTAGTAATAGTAAGTTAGCGGAAACTGATATACATTGTGTTTGATTTGTGAATGAGAAGGTGAATGGGCCAGTGTTAGTGGAAGATACATGCCTCTGTTTTAATGCTTTGAAGGGTCTTCCTGGTATGATTATCTTTTAGATTCTTAAGTTTTCTTTTCATTTACTCTATGACTATATACAGCATATGGCCACACACTGACTGAATTTGTTTTGTGGGATTTTGCAGGGCCATACATGTGAGTTTTGTTTCTTCCTTCCTCTCTCGATGCTGTGCTTGTAAGGGTTTTTTTTTGTCAGTCTTTAAAAGGGTAGAGTTTCTCCAATTATACTTTGTTGTAATGTGCAATAAACTATGAGTTTATGAGCTAATTAGGTAAATGGATTACAGACATAGATATGTCAAGGATGAAGTTACATCTCTATATGTTCTTTTATTTTTTTAATCTATGAATCTTTCTTGACTGGTTACTTTATTTTGATGTCTTGGTAATTCGTTTCATTGGGTTGGATCACGTCCTGTTCTTTGTTCTTCTAGATGGCTGCTGAGTGGTGTGAGTAGCCAAGTGGAGTTATCTTATTGAATGTTCTGATATGTCTTAACTCATTGCTGGACTGAAATTTAGAAGAAACCTCTATTTTCTTCACTTACTATTGGCTACTGATATCATCACCTACTGGTCAATATCAGATTGAGTCAGCGAGGGATAAACTGCATTGGAGTTATGTAGAATTCTTCTTTGTAGCACTTTTGATCTTCTTTCCTGTTTTTTGTTTTTGCAGCAAGTGGTTTCTTGAGAAGCTTGGCCATGAAGGTTGTGATAGTCAATTGTTTCTCTTTCCTTTCTCACCTCAGCCTTTGTTTCATTTATCTCTTACACTGGTAACACCTAATCTTGGTCTGACTCGTGTTCCAGGTCTGAACAACTTACTGATGGCCTATGAAGATAAATCAGCTTATGCATTGTGCGCATTCTCTTTCTCGCATGGTCCTGGTGCTGAACCTCTTACATTTTTGGGGAAAACTCCGGTATGTTCAACATCGTCACCGCTCTTTTATCAAACTCTCTGCTCCATCTGCTAG